TGAAAATTATAATAATCAGAAAATGAAAATATTTGAGACTTAAAATTCAGTATTTAAAATGGCAAGTTATAAATGTTAAAATAGTTTCCTACAATACATGGTTTATTATGGATGGATGGGTTATTTCTCTTCCTAGTTTATCTGTCATGCAATTGGCTAGAATGTCACTGTGTCCGAATACGCAGAGAGTTTATTCAGATTGCTTCTATATTTTTTAGCCACTTTTTATGTGATACTATTACAAAATATAACATATATTAGGTTGTCAAATATCTCCCTTCCGCTTTTTTGTCTTTTGAATTTCGCGGCTATGTACAAAGCGCTACAATGCTATGCATGATTAGTTTGGATATTGCGTTCAACAGTTATAGAAGTGGAAACATGGAGTTCACAAACGCCGAAATTCGCGCTATTTTAAAGTTTTCCTTCGTTAAAGGCAAATCCGCTAGAGAAACGTTCCGTGAGATTAATGGTGTTTTGGGGGATGGTACTCTATCACTTCGAGCCGCGGAGGAATGGTTTCAACGATTCAGAGCCGGTGAAAACGACACCATGGATAAGCCAGCCGGCGGAAGACCTGTGACGACAAATACCGATCAAATCATATGGCATATGGCATCTCGTGACATCGCCCAGGAGATGGGAGTTAGTCACCAAACCATTTTGAACCATCTGCAGAAGGCTGGATACAAAAAAAAGTTTGTTTTTTGGGTGCCGCATAATTTGATGCAAAAAAACCTTCAAACGCCTGCGATATGCTGCTGAAACGGAGCGAACTCGACCCATTCTTGAAGCGGATGGTCACTGGCGACGAGAAATGGATCACATACGACAATATCAAGCGAAAACGATCGTGGTCGAAGGCCGGTGAATCGTCCCAAACAATGGCCAAGACGTCCAGGAAGGTTTTGCTGTGTGTTTGGTGGGATTGGAAGAGAATCATCCGCTATGAGCTGCTCTCATATGGCCAGACGCTTGATTCTACCATCTACTGCGAACAACTGGACCGCTTGAAGCGTCCAGAATTGGCCAACAGGAAGGGTGTAGTGTTCCACCATGACAACGCCAGACCACACACTTCGTTGATGACTCGTCAGAAGCTACGGGAGCTCGGATAGGAGGTTTTATCGCATCCACCATATAGCCCGGACGTAGCGCCAAGTGATTACCACCTGTTCCTGTCCATGGCGAATGCCCTTGGTGGTGTGAAGTTGAACTCAAAAGAGGCTTGTGAAAAGTGGCTGTCCGAATTCTTCGCAAACAAGGAGGGGGGCTTCTACGAGGAAGGTATTATGAAGTTGCCGTCTAGATGGAAACAGATCATCGAACAAGATGATCACTGTAACACTTTTTATAAAGCATTGAATGAAGAGCAAAAAAGCGGAAGGGAGATATTTATATTTTTGGTAAAGAGTTCTGCTGAGAAGACGTTGCAGTGATCTTGTAGTCTCGCGCTCATATTTATTGAGCTTTTCTATCGGGCTTTGAGCCGTCTATAACGATGGCTATGGCTGCCTGTTCGAGGGCGTACTTGTGTTTTCCCATTCCTTTCTGTTTGGGCTTATTGGTGATACAAGTGTGTCGAAGCACATAATGGAGAAAGTGAAAAAATAAATACTTTTTTTTTTAAATATTTCCAAACCCACAAGTTTCAGTCACATCTACATAGAAGTTAACAACAAGAAACTGCAGACCTGACAAATAGTTTCTTGCTTACTGTTTACTTTAGTATGTAAGAAAATAAATGCTTTTTCTATTGCAGCCCACTGCATCTGCAGTTATATACTATATTTAAGTATATTGAAATCCCGTTAAAACGAACTCTTTTGTGTATTTAATGCTTGAAATGAAAATGGTCTCTTTTAGTGAAATAATAAAAAAATTATTAGTACGTTAATTAGGTACTCAAATTAAAGTCAATTATACTGATAACAGGCAGTTACCACGCAGACAACTGTAAAGGGTAAATATGGGTTAAGCGTACACTAATTACGAAACATTGTAAACTAGTTTTCATACCCCAGATGAAAGTTGTTATTTTATTATTTAATTAGGTGGAATTATCTAGAATAAAAAAATTAAAAATTCTTAAGAAATATTTATTTACTTAACTGATGGATTTCCAGTTTTTTTTATACATAACTTTTGTTACCACTATTACCAAGGGAGTAAATTTTGACTTTTTTATAGTCTTTGAGATCAGTTGCGAGAGCAGAGTATAAGTCCTTAATGTCACGGAATTGGAACTGACAACATTTTCTCTGTCTAATTAATTGGTTAGTTTTTTGCATTCCATAACAGAAGAAATATAATTAGCAACATAAAAAATTCTCGTGTAACAGTGTTCATGACAACACCTGGACAACCTCTGAAAAGGAAACTATAGAGCTATTGTACTTCTAGATACTCACTTTCCTGATAACTCGCAATACTCCTGTGAGCTCAGCTCATTTGTCAAGAGCTATCCGTCTACCAGTCACGGCTTAAATGATAATCAGTGCAATGAAAACCACGTGGACCGGACGGCATCATCCCTGCACAGCCGCACATACCACAGACACATACCACAGACACGGAGAAGGGTATCAGAAGTCTTCATCTCCATGCTTTTACCTGCACTCATAGTTCCCTAAAGACTTCAGAGCCATAACACTTTCTTCCTTTCGTCTAAAAGCATTAGAGCGGATGGTAGTTAACTATCTCTCTCTCAAATCATTGATAGCAGGCTACTGTCAAATAATCAACACGCCTGTCAAAAGAGAAAATCGACAGAAACTGCACTACATGGACTAATTACCTTAATTGAAAATCCTCTCTAAAATTTTGTCTTGTTGCCTGATATAGAAGGGGCTTTCAATAGCATCTTACCAAGCGCAGTTACAGCTGCATTGTTAAGTTTAGCTGTCGACACTCCTTTAGTGGACTTCATCAACCAACTGCTACTAAACAGGATTATAAGCGCGAACCTGGAAGGATATCAAGTATCCATTTATGTAAAAAGAGGCACTCCACAGGTTGGAGTTCTCTCCATTGTTATGGAATCTCACAGTGAACTCGCTATTAAAGCAAACGGATTGGGGTGGAGACAAAGTAATTGTCTACTCCGATTGCATCGCCATTGCTTACAGAGGGAAGTTTCCACAAACCCTCTGTGACTACACTAAGAAAAGTCTCATCCTAAACTATCAATAAGATTCCCGCTATCAACCCACCAGTACTGCACTGCGTTCAATTTAGTCTGGGAACAAAAGGCTAAATTTCTAGGAGTCATCTTAGACAAGAAGCACACAGCAATAGGTAAGAAATGGGGTCTAAACCTCAGGATTTGCCGATGGATCTGCATCTCAAGAGTAAGACCAACGCACCTTTACGGTGCGATCATGTGGTGGCCAGCTATAAATAAAGCTTCAAACGCTAAACTTGCAGATAAGATTCAAAAAAGTGCCTTAATGTCTATCAGTGCACTTAGAAGCACACCGAGTGAGGCTCTAAATTTAATACTCAACATTTTGCCACTGGATTTGGTGGTACATCAGTCGACAGAAATGACTGCCCTTCGTCTGAGAGAGTCAAATCACTTGTCTACCCATTCCAATGTGTTTAAATGGCACTACATGAAGCCGCTTCTATAATTTTTTTTATATACCTACTATATAAAAGGCTTCGTTCTGAATGATTCACCGATCATCGCACAGTCTAAACCACTGATCTTAAAGACTTGAAACTCACGTTGTGGAGCACTTTGTCGGACCGCAATATAGTCAAGGATGTGAAGAATAAAGCACTTGAACAACTGAGAATATTGCTGCTGCAACGTAAAGTGCAAAGAATCGCATATTTGTCCATTCCTACTCGTTTTACTTGAATTGGGTATTCCCCAAACATCAGTATTTTATTAAAGAATTGTGTCTTAAGGCTTATAGAGTTCAGTTTATGGAAGAACTCAAGCCAGCCGATCATCAAAAACGTCGTGTTTTTGCTGATCGGTCTCTTGAAATACATAAAAATTATCGGGAATTTCATTGAAAAATCATCTTGACTGATGAGGCTCATTTCCACCTCAATAATTAAAACTTTCGCGTAAGGGACTCGAAAACCCAAGATTTATTATTCTAAAGCCGCACCATGCTCAACGTGTAACTGGTGCGGTTTATGGTACGGAGGGGTCATTGCTGGAGCAACACTTACAATGAGTTACGAATTGCGCTATCGATGGGTTTCTATGGGCGAAATGGCTTGGTATTGACCTGATTACTTTCAACAAGATGGCACTACGTGTCACACAAGCAACGAAACCATCGATATTTAAAAAAAAAAAAAAAGAAAGCTTACGGACCTCGTAATCTCTCGAAGTGGTAATCGCATTTGGCCACCAAGATGTTGTGATTTAATACTTTGTTCCAAGGGGCTAACTTCGATTCAAGACCTCAAAGGTGGAATTCGTGAAGCTATTGAAGGCATACAGCAGCGTTTTGGTGATGGAAAATTTCATAAAAATTATATGCTCCTGTAAATGTGGCCGTGGCGGCCATTCGACTGATATTGTTTTCCATTATCAATGGCATATCTTGATCTTTACATTGAAATAATTATCAAAATAACAGCTTTTATTGGAAAACCGTATTATAAGAGTGAGCTTTTAAGTACCAAAAATTTTGCTCTTTGTAATAAAATTATGTAAAAAGTAGTAGAAATTTTATAAATTAATTTTACACGTTTTCACTACTTCAAAAGCCATTACCGGAATAAGATTTCCGTAGAAACGAGGTAAATTTTTAGATCACACCTCGCTGGTGATGATTCTTCAGATGTTCAAATTGACATTTCTTTAATGACTTGGTTTATCAAAAATAATTTGAAAAAAGGAAATATTTTGAAAGTCATTTTCGGTTTTTTTTTTTAAGAATTGCGACGTCAAATAATTTATTGGTTTTCAAACTTTTCACAAATAAATGAGTATACGTAAAACAAAACAAAACAAAAAACAAATATGAATAATCATATCGCTGTACGTGTTAAAACGTTGGGGGAAAAATAGCTGTAATACAATAAAAACAATAACATTTAAGCTATAAAGCCGAAACCGCAAGCCCGTTGTGACAAGTAACTTTTTCGAGCGTATTCCCAGTGACGACAAATAACTAAGCCAAGTAAAAAACAGAAGAAAGGCAAAAGTGTTAAAAATATATCGTTTAAGCAAAAAAAAAAATGAAAAAAAAAAATAAAAATAACAAATAAAAAAGCGTGTAATGAAACACCATAGAAATTGTGGCACTAAAAAATGAAACACTTTGTTGTTATTATATTGCAGCCTACGCATAAACAATACGATTTAAGACGAGCAGCATAACACACGCATATGCAACAATACAATTTCAAATAGTGCAACGCTTGCTGCTGCAATACATAGCAACAGCCCCTTTCACATCAACAACGCCAAAATCACTGCAATCCACATACATACCTGCATACTCACATACATGCATTTTAAACAACAACAGTCATCATCTTCAACAACAACAACACATACACCGCAAACGCCACGAATGACGGTGTCGACAACGCTGACCGCCCCACAACAAGCGCTGCCACCACCACCACCATAGAGGCAACGAACGAAGCCCCAACGCTGTGGCGCGATCGTGATCGCTGCCCCAACGCTAAACAAACGCATCGTCACTCAACGCCGCCACAAACAAATACACATTCACATATTGTACATGCATATATACATATATACGTTACTATGCTATGCGCGCGCATGCTTGCAAGATTGATAAGCGATCGTGGAGTATAAAAATTGAGGGCTCACCATTTCCGACGTTTAGTTTAGTTTAGCGGCTCATTCGAAAGGAACGTAACGCGGCGCGATTCGATTCACGCGGTGCGCATGAAACGAAAGTAAAAAAAAATACAAAAATAAGTAAATAGAGAAGCGCAGCGTACGCATTTGTGAAAAAGGGATTTTTACACACATACATATTTATTGCTCACATAGCAAAATAGCGTTCGTAATAAAAAGTGCGAAATACGTAAAGTGTAATATATTTTTTTAAGCGAATTAAAAATAAAAATAAAAAACAGCAAAAAAGGGTGGATGAAATAAGGTGAATAATAAAAGGTTTGAAGCAATTATATTTTTATATTTACAAATTGACAGGGAAAATAAAGTTAAAAAAAAATTAAAAAGTTAAAAAAAATTAAAAAGTTAAAAAAAAATTTAAAGCGTTAAAAAAAATATTTAAGAGTTAAATAAAATTGTCATAATAAAAATAAATTTTTCAAATGAAACCTTTTAGTACCATCGTAAGCCTATCGCCGATATAAGGAAAGTTACTGACCCAAGGCGAGCGTAACAAAAGTGAGAAATTAATACACAAATTTTTTTATGATTTAAAAAAAAAACGAGTTGCATTTTTAATGTCTTAAAGACCATGCAATAATGATTACCGCTATAAGTAGCCATACATGCATATTGATATGTATTTACATACATATATTACATACATAAAAGAGAAAAGACAAAGGAAGAACGAGTTTTCGAAATTGTTCAAATTTTTTGGTGAAAGACTCTTCATGGCAACAACAACAACAACATACACACACACACATAGTCCTCTTACACCAAATAAAAAACAAAAAAAAAAACTCATAACGGCATATACAAGTTTGTTGCTTCCACATACATATTTTCTTAGTAAAGTCCGCTTTTTTTTCCTTTCTTTCACCTTAACGTCTTTCGCTTTTTAATTTATTTGTTTGTTTTAATTTCTGCGTTCATTGACGGCGGCGGCGCCACTTGAAATGTATGAACCGAAATGCTTGCACTTGCTTGCACAAACCTCAAATCGCCGTTTCAAAGTCAAAAACGACGTGCGTGCAACGAGCAGCTAGCCAACAGCTAGCAGGGCAATGGCAACACAGCAGTTAACAGCCAACTTTATTTAAGTGGTTCCTGTGGTGCGTCCGTTGTCGGGCAGCATCATTACATTGTGTCACTATATTTACGGTTTCGAATTGTTGTGGCGAGGGAATTTTCGATTTTTCGAATTTTCGTTCGAAAAAATTCCATGTGTGTTTAAATTGTATTTTTATCAATTTTAAAACCGTGATTTGTTTTATTAATTTATTTATTTATTTACTTAATTTCAATTGCATATAAAGGTAAACAGCAAACGATTAAGCCGTAAATTTTTTTTTATATAAAGGGTGTTTTTTTTTTTAGAATTGTGGTTTTCTAGCAGAATTCTAACGCTTATAATTTAATGTTATGACCAAGAGTTTAGCTTTATTATAAATTTAAGTGCTTGGCATTATGTTTTAAAAAATGATTACGGGCAAGTGATCGCCGTGGCTGGCTAGAATAAATTCCATTCGAGAGGTCGACCATTTTTTATTAGCCGAATATTCCCCTCCAAGGTGTCAAATCGTCTCGAGCTTATCTATGTAGATAAGCGACTTCGCATTACCTCACAAAAAATAGTCCCGCGGTTTTTAATCGTACGATCTTGGAGGCCACAAACACTTCTGTGTGAGATAATGTGTTCATCAAAAGTTTGCTTCAATGAACTGTTTGTTGCGTGGGATGTCGAAACGCTGTCTTCTTGGAACCAAAGGTCTTTCACATCAACATCCTCTAATTTGGACATGAAAAACTCATTAGTCATGGCTCATGGCTCATTAACCTTTGACTGTAATAAATTCAACAACAAATTTAAAAAAAAATATGTACCAATGATTCCCTCTGCCTCAGTGACATTTTAAGGATATAACGGCGTCGCAACACTCGAGTATCACCGCACCAATTCCGGCAATTTTTTTTACGTATTAACATACACATTCAATTTAAAAGTGAGCTTCATCGATGAACAAAATTTTCTCTTGAAAATCGGCATCGTTGGCCAACTTGTTTGGGTGCCAATTTGAGTTGGATCCTGTAAACTCACAAACAAAAAACTTTCCGCAAAAATTTTCATAAAGGCATAGAATGGATTCATTCAGATCCACTCTGATACTCTGCTACACAGCAGCTATTAGCGTCTCTGCATCTCTGGATATGTGCATTATCCACTAGCGTAAACCGATTCAAGATTGCTCAAATTATCGACGCTATTATTGGGCGATGATATCCAACCATTATCTTGGTAATAAATTTGCACAATTTGCAAAAGTTGTTCCGAGGCAAGTCGGTTAAATTATGAAATGAGTAACAGCTCTCAAAAAGACCAACTCCGAAAAAAGTATTGCCTCATTGAAAACCACACGTCTAATAAAAAAGAACACCCTTTTAATTGAGTGTGTATGTATTGATATTTACAAATAAATATCTAATTAACAGCTGCAATGAATACAGATTTTTTCGTATTTTTTTCCTATTTTTTTTTAGGCTTCGTATGCAATTTCATATGAAAACAAAACAAAGGTTAATGTCAATGATAATGCAATTACTAGTCAATTCTGATTTTCGTATGCTATTTGTGTAAAAATGTGTGCATTTAAGTCGTGTGAGATAGCGTGTAGTTGATCGAGCGCTCAACAACAGCAACAACAGCAACAATAACTGGGCTTGGAGAAAATTTTTTTAATCCATTTTACATACATATATTTTGCATATTTTGTTATTATCATACTTTTGTTTCATCACATATTTTCATTTGCTAGTACAATGGCTCACAATACATAGCTATATATATATATATATATATATATGAATGATTTGTGCGAGGCGATATAATTAAATATTGCATGTGGGTAATTAAATGGAATTTGAAAAAAAAAACTCCAATACTTTCAACCACTTTTACATATTTATGAACACAAAAAGGGTTTTTACCAGTTTTCAGTTTGTAAATTGAAATAAAAACAAATAACGGTTTTTGTTAGGGAAGTAAATTTTTTCCGGTGTACAGTGTTGCCTCGATTTATGAAACTCCAGACAATTATTATCAGACTTGAGAGCTGAGCTGACTTATCTTCGAAAACCGCATTTATAAAAATAAGAAGATGATAATTAAAAATACTGAATAATCCAGTAATTTCTTATAAAGCGTGATTTTTGTTCAGAGCTATAGGAGATTTTTCAAAGAAGAAAAAATATGTAATTAAGAAAAATGCATGAAATCTTTATTTTAATCGATGTAATTAATGTTTGAAGATTATTTCATGCAAATGTTGACCGTGATTGCGCCTCAAAAGGTCCATTCGCTTAGTACAATTTTTGGCATGTTCTTTCCAACATTTCGGTATCTCACGAAATGGGTTAATTGAAGCAAGCTTGTCCGTGTAGACATTAGATTTAATATAGCATACAAAAAATAGTCTAATGGCGTTAAATCGCACGATCTAGACAGCCAATTAACCGGTCCCGAACCTGAATGTTCATCGAACTCGCCTCTCAATAAGTCCATTGTTACGTGTGCTGTGTAGCACGTGGCCCCGTCTTCTTGAAACCATGGGGATCGAACCAACGGATCCTGGTAGAGCACTCGCCTGTTAAGTCAGGATCCGTTGGTTCGATCCCTGCCATAAGGAGTCTGATGAGGAGATGTGGTGATCTCCGAAACAGTTGTCACTTCTACCATTTTTTCTTTGTTGTATAACAAAAATATTCAATTCATACAAACAACTAGGCCTTGAGTTTACTTAATACTTATATCAAAAATTTATATTCATGGTTATTTAAAAAAATTTATAAATAATTAAAATTGAAAAAAGGGTAAACAAATTAACAAGTCCGCCGTTTTGTATTTTTTTTTTTTTTTTTTTTGGTGAAAATGTTTTATTGTAGTTTCGGTCATGTGATACCGAAAAAGAAACCCTTTTGACTTTTGCTTTCAGATGATTCGTTTTACAGTTAACGTTACCCAGCAGCAATTTTTAAAGCTCCCATTTAAAAAAAAAAATTAATTAATTTTTACTTTTACACGTCTGCTTATCTACAAAAACTTTGATTTTTAAATATTTTTTTTAAATAAATAAATATTGTTTGAAAAAAACAAAGGATTTTGGAGGATCTGCTCGTTCTACCTGAAAAATTGATACCGTTGAATGTGTCTACTAGTCGACGTTGTCAAGAGCTGTGAGTTTCCTACGACAAATTATGGCGTATTTTGCACTTGGACTTACAGTTATATCTTCATTAAGTTCAGTCAACACAACGACTGAAACTAGCTGATCGTTCACTTGATCAGTTAGCAGTAGACGGCGATTTTTCGAATAATTTTTTCTTCACCAACAAGGCACACTCGGGGAATAGGAAATACTTACTAACTTCTTTGAAAACGACAACAGCGTGACTGTCACTGTCAACTCGGAGCTTTATGGTCCTATGATAACCGACTTGTTTTGTCCTGCTATTGGTGCCACATGCGATACAGCACAAGCGAATATGCCTTTATTGCGAGAGAAAATTCCCGGCCGCATAATCTCTCGTCTTGGCAAAGTCATTTGTTCACCGAAATCATGCGATTTGACATCATTGAATTTTTTTTGTTCTGTAGACTAAGCGAGATACCGTGTTTAAGTGGACAAACCTTTAACTCTTGAGCACTTCAAAACCGTTGTTCGGCAAGTTATAACTGAGTTACTACCCAATTTTGTGCAAAAAGGTGGTCGAAAATTAACTCAAACTGATCGAAGTTTGCAAAAATTCCCGAGACGGTCCTTTAAATGATGTAGTGATTGACATACTCGTATAAAGCCAAGGTTAATACTTTTTACTAAAAAAACGGAGTGTTTATTTTCGAAATTCCAAAATGGATAACCTTGTATATTTAATTTTGGATTGAGTTCAGGATGGAAACTGTAAAATGCTTGGCGGCCGAGTGGTTAGCATTGCATATTGTCATTCTGAAGGGATTCGAGTACAAAATTATAGAAAATTAATTTTTCTAATGGCGGTCGCCTCTCGGCAGGGAACATTGCAACTAAAGCGATTAAAAAAAGTGTATTTATTTTGAGGCGCCTATGTGCTCTGCACCCTTCGAAAACTCTTTGACCCGTGTTGCGTACAAATTTTTTTTTGCTATACGCAACCTTGCAATATGATTATTTAAGTCAATAACAAATTATTTCTACCACAAAAGCAAAAACTATTTCAGCAACTTAAATAAACGGGTGTGTTGTTACAATTTACACATATATATGTATGTATGTATATATGCTACATAGCTCGTGAGATAAACTGAAATGAATAGTATTGTATTTTATTTTCACATCGGTTTTGTTTTGAAAAATACTTAATTACTTACGGGTTTTTTTTAATTATTGTCTACGTCATAGAGTAGTTCTTGAGAGGTGCTAAAAATGTTATTTGTTTAAAGTTAATAAAATCACTGTATGATGCAAGTGGAAACGAAAGACCGACTAACATGTACTGAGTAGGCTACGTTATCCGAGCTCTAACTTACTTCGAAAACCACATTTATAAAAAAAATATAGATAATTAAAAATATTGAATAATCTATATATAATATATAAAAGGCCTGTCCTGCATGACTGACGGATCAACCCACAGCCTAAATCACTGATCGTAGAGACCCGAATTAAGAACGGATTTTCCAAAAAGTAGATACGGAACCGATTTATTGAGAGAAAATTTTTTGGTTATTTTTAAATCTTTGATGTCATAAAATCTGTTACAGAGGTAGCTTTCAGCCAAATTATCATTGGGTAAAGTTGCGCTATTAATTTCTTAGTAAAAGTGGTGCAAAGTAGTGAAGGCTCCATAGCAAATGAACAAAGGCATACATAAAATAAAATATTTTCAAGTATCGAAGCAAAATTTGGCAAAATCTTTGCTTAAACCTCGATGATCCTGAAGGAATAGGCAAAACTTGATAAAAATATGGTTGCCCAGAGTAAAAAGCTTTAAAGGCGATATCGCCTCGTCCGAAAATGCTATCATGCTGTTTTAATTTTAGCCAGGAGATTTACTTAACCAGTAATGCTCAGGGGAAAGTGAACGCACGAAGTTAAGGCCAGCAGGAAACGATCTTGAGCCTCACCATAAAAAGTAAGAAAAAGAAAGTAAATTTAAGAGGAGATTTTACTGTCGGAGATCTAGAAAATGGTGATTTCCCGGAACTGAATAACAATAAAACTATTCCTACAGTATTATGAACAATTGTTTCAGCTATTGAAGAGGATATAGGTAAAATTTACAAAAGAAAGAATAATATTTACGATAAGCCCACAGTATAGTTATGAAAAAATGCCATCGCAAAAGAATGAGCAAGCCTCAGTCATAAACAAAATTCACCGACGATGTCATTCATTACAGTCTTCCAGTCTACTAACTCACATATGGAAATTACTGCGCAATAATTATATAATGGTACCTGATTACAGGTAAAAATATAGCATCGAAACGTTTTCGGGTTGCTTTCAAGAACAATTTGTATTTATTCAAGGTGAAACTCTTAAGGTAGCAGGTGTAAACGTGAGAGAAAGCTGCTGTTCCCATGGCGGTTTGTATGTGGCAAGCTTCAGGGTAAGCTCACAAAGTAGACTGGTTATTCTAGCCCCAAAGCTCTTAAACTGGTATAAGAAAGTCAAGACTACTTATCACAAAACAAATCCAAGGCACCAGCACCAAGTAAGACGTCGATAATTAAAGAGCGCGAAAAAATAGGAAAGATCATGGGATCTATTTAAATCGCTCAGACAATAAATGCAAGACAAAAATACTGAATTCGATTTCAATAACACAAGAAGTACGGTGGGAAAAAGTTTAAACGAAGCCCAGCTCTTCGGACGCGTTAACCAAAACGCATTTAAAAAAAAAATACGGTTGGAGTTGCGCCCATGAGGAACGGAAGCTAAGTTTCTCAAAAATGTACTACGTGCCGATGACAGAGGCATAAACAGAATGGGCTGGATGGGATAAAATACAGTTCAACCTCAAAGGTTTCAAGATTCGAGTACCATATATACAAAAAATGCAACAAAATATTCAGTCGGTAGCATTATGTTTTTGAGGTGTATTTTGGTGACATGGAGTGAGACCATTTGTACGAATAATTGGAGAAATTGACAAATATCAATCCTTGAACATCTAAAAGAATAAAATGCTACCATTCGTATTAACGAAACCATCATTGTTTTAAGGAAGAGATTTCTGGACCTTATTATCTCTCGAGAGGTGATCGCAAATGGCCACCGAGATCTTGTGATTTAACACCTGGTGACTTCTTCCTTTAAGGCCACGTGAAAGATAAGATCTACGCCAACTGGCCAATATCGATTCAAGACCTAAAAGAAGGATTCGAGCAGCTATTGAGAGCATACGCCCGTCACTTTGCGATTTGGGGAGGGAAACTTTCTTTAAAAGGATACGGCCCTGTAAGCGGCCATTTTTGCTGATATTTTTTTCATTAATAAAAGCATATCTTCCGCTTTACATTGAAATAAACGTGCCAGCAATTAATCTCAAAAAATGTCATTTTTCTTAGAATATTAAAATAAAACCTAACCTATTGGAGAACCCTGTATAAGTAGGAAATTTTCAATATTTTTAATGAGAAATTTTACTATTGTTTACGTGGGAAACTGTTAATGCTATTGTTTATCTATACTTTCCCTTCTATAATCAATAAACATTTTACTCAGGTCTTGTGAAACAAACTCACAATAAAGTTGTTACAAAATACCGGCTTTCAAAGCTGGTGTATTGAGTAAATTAAAATAACAACTAACGTCAATTTTCAATTGCATATTTAACTAAAACTACAAATATAATCTGAAATCATGTGAATTCTTAAAAAAAAAATAATTTCTTCCATTTCAGTTGAAAAGCCACAGTTTGTCTTTCAGAAAGCCACACTTGTGCATTCACATCGCCACCAGCTTGCAATTACCCCTTCCTTTACCGCCAACGCCACACCGCCACTAGCAGCATACCGGCAAAATGTTGCGTTGCCAGCGCAGCATATACAGTGTGTTTTTGCTTTTCACGCTCACGAATGCATTCGATATTACCAGCTTGGAACCCATTGCCGATAAAAATATACAAACCGGAAATCGAATGCTCTATGAAAGGGAAATCAACACAAACATTTCTCAAGCGGTGGCGGCAAAAGAGGATGCAGCAGATGGTGTGATCGACGTAAATGAGATTCCAGTGCGTTATGATGATGCACAATTGTGGCGCATCTACAATATATCCGAGCATATGCAGAATAATATGCCGTTGGCCGAGACTTTGGAGAATCAATTCGGTGGGTATACAACAAGTGCAATGCATACATATACATATATACTTTTGTATGTATATGTTCATATATTTATAAGCATATACATACATAGATACATACGGGTATATATACATATAGTTCGGAAGTGCATATTTGCTACTTTATAATAATTGCAATGTCTTTGTCAAAACACTTTAGGTGGCGTTATTTGGAAGGAGAATTCAAAGTTTCTTGACATCTCTATCAACAAGGACAACTTGAAAGCAGCACGTAGTTATCTGGCTGAACATAATATCGATAAGGAAGTGGTACACACAAACATACAGGAATTGATTGATGCTGTCGAGCTCGAGGGTATCAAGGCGACACAATCAGAGGCGGGTAGCCGTACAAGTAAGTGGAAATTTTGGCATTTTACTGCACAAAGGGTATGAAGTCATCAAAATAAGTTGCACTGCTATGATATATAAGCAAGGTGTTCTCAGAAAATAACCGTTATTTTCAAATTTCGTGAGTTACGTATGTTCGATTTCCGTTTTTTTTTTCTGTTGTTATTTAGGATTGTCAGTTTTTGTTTTGACAGAGAACAAGGTTAGTCGTGTTTTGGTTTGCTCTTTTGTGTAAAAAAAATGAAATTAAATACGCAAGGACATATGAAATGTTGACTGTGGTGTTTGCCGAGTCTACTATGAGCTGAACACAAGTTCAATTGTGGTATAATCGGTTTAAGGAAGGCCGAGAAGATGTCAATGACAATGCTCATTCTAGTCACCCGAGGACGTTAAGTTTGGTCAAATGTGAAGGTTTTGTTAACTGTTTTCTTCGACTGGAATGGCGTGGCGCAGCATGAATTCTGGCCACAAGGTCGTACAGTCAATAAGAATTACTACACAGGAATTTTTCCGCCGTTTGCGCGAAGCAATTCATCAGAAATGCACAGAACTGTGGAAAAGATAGTAATCGATTTTGCACCATGATAACGCACCAGCTCACACATCGTTCGAGCGTTTCGCTACGATTGAGAAGATAAAAGAAAAATCGAAACAAAAGCTGGGAGAGTGTTTCGAAGATTGGAGAAAACGCTGGCATAAATGTTTTATATCTAAGGGGGACTACTTTGAAGGGGACAAGATAGGTGTTGATGAATAACTAAATACTTTTTCAAAAAAATTTTAAAATAACGGTTATTTTCTGATTACACCTCGTATATAATTTTCATTTAAAAATAGACACCTCCACAAAATTTTTCATTAAATATGTTTAATTTTACCAAAAAAAAAAGTACGATAAGCCATTCCACAGACATTTCGACATTTTTCATTAAATTCTATTCTATTCCTGCTCTCTGACTCGGTATAAAAGAACTGGGAAAGGTATTTCAAGTTCACACCGTACTGCCGGTAAAGGAAACTAGGTGAGATGTATACGGAGAGCTGGAGTAGCTAAAGGACAGTAATAATGCTCGAAAATTCAGTGAGAAGTAGAAACTGTCGTAGGCACCAAGTTAACCGATGTTCACGGAGAAAATACTTGGCAGAGGAATACTAACCCGAAAATTCGATAGATGATTGTAAAAAAGATCTTCCGTCACCAGACGATAACGAAATTCGGATATGGATTGCACGCTTAAATAACAAAGCGGTCGTAACCCGATAACTTTCCGGCCTAGCTATTAACGAAATGTAGGTGAAGACCTGATAAGTTCTTTCTTTGCTGCGACGTAAGCATATATGACGATTGGAACCTAAGTTTTCTCTGCCAATTCCATAAGAAAATCTTTGAAACAAAACGATTCGATTTTCGAATCTATTTTAAATGTGCAGCTTGTTGTTCTTCCAACAAATGGCCGGACCTACAGTTTACACTAGGACGAGTTTTTATGAAGAGCTTCTTTTTTTATTAAAGAAATTCACTCGAAGGGGCGAGCACATTTGAAAAGAAAAATCTTTTATTTTTCTATAATTCTTATGCTGGTTCTGTCAGGCTTAAAACTCATGTTCTTCCACATGTTATTACGCACTGATAAACGCTCGGCTACTGTAGCCGCTGCAACACAGGAGCAAATTATACGTGCTTCAGAGTCAACGAGAACAAGATGGAATTTCTTCTGTCATCTAACCTTAAAGTTTTTGCTAATTTCATATATCTAGGAACCATAATCACTTCTGCCAATAGGTGGTATTTTAAACTGTATGGGCATATGAAAAATTAAGTGCTCTTTTTACTAAAAAAAAAAATAAATTCTACAAATCGCTTATCATTCCTGTTAACTACATGGACCAGAGGCTAGAAAACTGTACATAACTCATGAGTCTGCATTGGTAGTTTTTTAGAGAAAGGTTTTACGAAGGATTTATTATTTATAGTCGGTAAGAGGAAATGAAAGGTGTGCTATTATTTATTCACTTGCTTTGGCGGCGCTTACGCTAATTAAGAAGAAGAAGCATTCAAGAAAGTTCTCGCAAATAAATAGTTCTAAAGGCTTCACACTGACTAACAATCAATATATGATTTTTTTTCGTCATACACCCTCATCTAAGTAGCCCATTAACTGGATGTGGTTAAGATAAATTATATAAAAATTAAATATTCTTCTTCTTTTTCTATAATTTTTTAGAAAAACAAGCACGCAGCGGCATTAATTGGAAGGACTACCATGATTTGGAGACGATCTATGATTTTATGCGTGAAATACGTAGCAAATTTCCCAAAATTTGTCGTTTATACTCGATTGGCAAGACGGCTGAAGGACGTGATCTTAAAGTGCTGAGGTAATTAAAAGAATTATTTTATTATTGTGAATATTTTAAAGAGCATAAGTCAGTTCAGAATATGCACTAATACAATCTAATCATTAATAATCATTTAAATATTAAGAATATTGTTAGCAGCAAATAATTAGCTTTTATTGGGTAATTGCATGTAAAGGGTTTTCCAAAAAGAGGTGTTATTTTGAATATTCTGGTAGATGTCACTTTTGAAGCCATCATTTTTTCACATCTGACAAGAAACAAACTAAAAAATTCACTATAAAAAAGGTGAAAATCTGGCAGCGACGGTTCTAAAACATTTCTTGGACGTCGTGAGGCACCTTGTCGGACCGCAATACAGTGGTGGGGAAGAAAATGGAGCTGTGCAAGTCGCTCAGGAACAACTGAGTGTTAAAGAAAACCCAGATTTGTTCATTCCTTGTCGTTCTTTGGAATTTGGCAGTCCAAAAACGTCATTACACCGTGTTTTGCAACAGGACTTGGGTCTTAAGGCTTATAAAGTTCGCTTAACACAACAACTCAAGACAGCGGATCATAAACAACGTCGTGTCTATGCTGATTGGGTCCTTGAAATGCATGAAAATAATTTAGAATTTCATCGAAAAATCATCTTGACTGATGAGGCTCATTTCCACCTCAATAAGCAAAATTGTCGCATCTGGTGCGAACAAGATTTATTGTTTGAACGCCTCTCCATCCTCAACGGAGGCGCACTTTATGTTCCGACGGGGTCATTAGACCTAACTTCTTCGAAAATGAGGCGGTGGGATAATTAATGGATTATATGGACGTAATTGAACGGTATTGCTCTGGACAACGTTTACTATCAACAAGACGACGCCACGTGCTACACAAGCTATGAAATCATCGATGTTTCAAGGAAGAAATTTATTTATTATCTCTCGAAGAGGTGATCACAATTGGCCATCGAAAACTCGTGATTAAACACTTTGCGGCTTATTTCTTTGTGGCCACGTAAAGGATAAGGTCTACGCCAACACGCCAACGTCGATTTAAGACCTCGAACTTGGAATTCGTGAGCTATTGAGGGCATACAGTAGCCACTTTGCGATTTGGTGATGGCAAATTTCATAAAAATGATACGGTCCTGTAAGCGTAGCTGTACATTATTAAAGACATATCTTTATCCTTACATTGAACTAAACATCCGATCATTTGCCTCTTTGAATACCAAAATAAACCTCTTATTGGAAAACCCTGAATGTTCAACTTAATTTAACTTTTCAATCAAACTCTCGGCTGCCATAATCGAGTGGTTAGCATTGTGTACTGCCATTTGGGAGTCCGGGGTTCGAGTACTGATTCCACGAACATCCAAAAGTGGAAAAAGAATTATTTTTTCAAATGTCGTCGCCCCTCGGCGGGGAATGTCAAGCCCTTCGTGTGTATTTCTAACCCGAAATAAAGGCTCCTCATAAATAACCCCGAAATAAAGGCTCCTCATAAATAACCATAAGCCGCCCAGAGGCTTGGTCGAAAAAACGCAAATTATGCATTCACGTGCGTTTTATTTTTAGTTTGATTTAATGTTAAAAGAAAATTTATTATGAACTTTCAACAGAAAGCTTTTTGATAAAAGTAAGTTCTATATATTGTACATACATATATATGTACCATATACATACATACATATGTTTACTTATAGCAGTTTAGTTCGTGGCAGTAGATGCTGGTTGTCACAAATTTGTTGTTGTTGCAGCAACCGCAGAAACGCTGCGAATAGTGCGATAATTACAATTAAAATTTATGCAAACCACGTTAAATGTGTTAAAAGCTTCACAATGAGTTTGAGGCATTATCATAATTAGAAATGACGTTCATGCAGAAGACAAGGACGTTATAATGAGTAAATATATTCAGAGGCATATAACTGTACATATGTATATATGCATTTATTTGCATGTTATTTGCTTACAAAAACTGAACTGGCTTAAGACAACTTAGAAAAATGAGAAATCTTTATGTATTTCAAAACATTCATCTTTTTCATCTACAGAATTTCTGAGAACCCCCGAGAGTACAAAAAGATTTGGATCGATGGTGGTATACATGCACGCGAATGGATCAGTCCGGCCACTGTGACTTTTATAGTTTATCAAATTTTATCCAAATGGGAGAGCCAACCAGCGTATATAAAGCAACGTACCTGGTACTTTATGCCCGTCGTAAATCCCGATGGTTATGTATATAGTCGCAATGTCAACAGATTGTGGCGTAAAAATCGTTCACCATCTTCATCATCAAGTTGTTATGGTGTCGATTTGAATCGTAATTTCAATATTAATTGGAATGGCCGAGGTTCATCGACAAACCCCTGCAGCGATACCTATCGCGGCACAACACCCGCCTCTGAATTGGAAACAAAAGCAGTGGAGAATTTCCTTTCGAGACGTAAACATAATCTATCGGCTTATTTGACTTATCACAGCTACGGTCAATACATCGTCTACCCGTGGGCATATAAAGCAGTAAAAGTAAAGGATTCTGCTGCGTTGCAACGTGTTGGTAAAACCGCTGCCGAGCGTATACTTAGCAAAACAGGCACAGTTTATCGCAGTGATGTGACGCATGCGTTATTGGGCATTGCCGGTGGCGGTTCAGATGATTGGGCGCGAGCAGCTTGCGGCGCTAAGTATGTATATACAGTTGAATTGCGCGACAAAGGCGAATATGGTTTCCAATTGCCACCTTCGCAAATACGTGGTACAGCAGAAGAGGGCATGATCGTAGCTGAGACGGTAGCCCAGGCGATTGCGCTTTAATTTAATTTATTTTTTCTATATAAGTATTTGTGTGTATATTTGTGTGTGAAAGTATGAGTAGAAAAAAAGAAAACGTGTGCGTGAATATTTTGCAATAAAATTAATTAAACTTTGCAACATGTATACATGTGTATAAACATAATAATAAAACCTAAAAAAAACACTAGTAATTAAAAAAAAACGATTAAAAGATCTGTGGGGTATAGTCAAAAAGGGTTACGTTAGTTCGCCATATGGAGAGAAATAGATACCTGAATGATGTTTCTGTTAGGCATGTTTGAGTAGAAGTTTGAATTTTCTTTATAAGGGACAAAAATATATATTTTCGCGTTTATTTCATTACAGCTTTTAGTGAAACTCAAAAATTTATCACAAAGAAGTTTATTACTTCTAAGAAATTAAAAAACAATTTATGTATGAATATAATCTTATTGCACAATAATTTTCATTCCCAAAAAAACCCCCTCTCAATTATGTAGATATATAGATTGATGTGTATATAAATGTAGTATATAGCCCCTAACTCACCGTATCGGTGTCATCATCATCGCCATTCAGCAATGCCATCGTAGTTACATCTGCTTCAGTAGAAACCATATTTTGCATATCCTTCGGTGTCGACTCTTCAGAGATAACAGATACGGATGGTAGATTGTCGACAAATTCATCAAAACGTCGATTTCCAATTGGTGTAGCGGCACTTGGTGTCTGTGGAGTGACTGTAGCGGTATGTGTAGGTGTTGTAACCGAGGCCAATGCATTTTTTTGTGATTGCATTAATTCATTTGATGTACAATTACCGTTAGTTAAACCAGTGTATGATGCATTTTGATTAATACTTTGGTTTGTGTAACTATTTTCGATGCACTTTGTATTCTTGCTGTTTGAGTTAATATTTTGCATTGTAATTTGGCTGTGCTGAATTGGTTGAATAGGTGCAAAATTCTTTAGTTGTTGTTTTAATTGAGGTGTTTTATTTTTGCACATCGTATTTATGCTACGCTTTTTATACAGAGATGACTTATCACTTTTATCAGCACTTCCATAGATCGACTGTTGTTGCATTAATAACTCAGCTTCACGCAATATCTCATCGACACTGCGAGTGTCTGAATTATCAGCCAGTCGGCTGACTTCCTGAAAAATACTTTCTGCGTCTGCTTCTGTACAACATTCTTGTTCTCTTGCCAGAAATTCTAAAATTGAGCTGCTGGTGAAATCATCACAATCGACTGTGATGGGCGATGATGAAGTTGATGTTGACTCGGAAGTGCAAGCCATTGTGCCAGTGGATGTGCCATTCATGTTGGTACCGCCATTTAAATTGCTGCTATTACTATTAAGCATTTGTAAAGTGGGTGTGGTTTTTTTTTGATTATCAAGTTTTTTGGACTTCTGCGAGGGCAGAGCACTTTGTTGATTCAACACTTTGGACATAATTTATTCATAAATTATACTTTTACAAAATTTAGATTAAATTTGTAGCAACACCACAATAGGAAACTTATATATCGAAATTGGCCGAAAAGGACAAATATGGACAAAGCCAATAACAATAAATTCACATATAAACGAAAATAAACTTCAAATTATCTATGTACATAAGACTTTTCAATAAAACTTCTTTCATATTTTTATATTCTTTGAATAAAACACAGTTATCGTTTACACACAAAGCTTTCTATATTCAGAAAAACTTAATGAAAAATATCAAAAATTTGTGGAGAATATTCAACGAGATTTCCACCGCGTCTTCGCGCTATGACATTCACAACCGAACGCTCGGCGAGTATAATGCTAATAATTCCGATGAAAACTCGTCAGGACTCTCGTTGAAACTATTACACGAACAGCTAAAGCACTTGTCATACATCCTGTGAAATCTTGTTTGTATTTTGTCAATTATCCTTTCGACGGTCCAACTTAATAATTTTTTGTTTTGCCCTGTTTTGCTTTTAGTGTTGTTGGTATACAGATACAATGTACACAAAAATGTTTGATGCTGCCATATATTTAAAATATGACTGTTAGTGTTGGAAAGAGTCCCTTCAGCAAAGTTGCAAAGAAATTATAGGAGTAACGAATTAGAACAATTTTGCCAGAATAATTTGCGAAATCATTCGAATTCGACCTCTGGATCGTTGAATCAAAGTCCCAAGCTTTGTTTTACAATTTCTTATTTGTCAATAATTTAAGCAACGTTAATTTATTGCCCAATAAATTACAGTACACACAATTTCTGCTCCTAGAAATACAAAGTTTACTCCACTTGAGTCTCTACCAATAATGAGATTACTTGTAAGCATCATCCAACCGTTTCCTCGAACCCTTTGACGATATATTCTCCAGTTCGAAAAGGCGGAGAGCTACTTCTGAGAAATTTTTCAGATAATTCTCTATCGTAAGATGAATAATTATAACGCATTAATCCTGCCGTAGAAAGACACTATGGTAGTGAGCATAAGAGGCAAATATAGCAGATGGAGCTAGGGAATCGTTATCAAAAACTTAATGAATCTCTGCAGGAATTTGCTTCCGAAATTGAGAGATTTGCGGAAACCGTCCTATATTCACGCACCCCCAATTAGACCTGTCTACAAAGTGAACCCTATGGCGGTGGAGAGTACAGATGTGTTAGACGATATCCTGGAAAGGTGATATTGTGAAAATATCTATTGTAGAATGTGCAACAACTGTAGAAAACCAGGACACCTTACTTGTGACTGTAAGATGGCGTTATACCAAAGCTGAGGAAAAATGCCTCATAAACTCTGTCTCGCAAATTTACCGAACCGCGACCAACTTTGCAATTCGCGGTTGCGTGGATGTACATGAGCGAATATTTACCGTGGATACTGGCGCACCGCACTCCATAATTCATCTGACTTGATCACCAAATAAGTAAGACCATTGCTGAGAACAAGAGCAGCTACGTTAACCCCGCTTAGGGACAGGTCAAATCAATCCAAGTTACCGAGGTTATTTTACGGAAGATCTAGGAAACGTGCTGTTTAGCCGTGATTGGATCAGAGGGAGAGGTGGATTAGATGGGTTGGCTTAAGGGACACGTCAATGAGTTTTACTTCTTTTCAGTTATTCTGCGTTGGCTTAGCTCGACTTCAAGTCTTCTCATAAAATTTATATCCTATTTAATAATACGATTGATCTGCTTAGATGCCTAGATTATAAGGCTGTGGAACTTACGATATTTTTAAAGATAGAAACTATATCCAGATAACTTAAATCAACATAGACATTCTAATCTATATCTTGTTGAAAAGAATAATAACGGGTAAAAGGAAATCTTTTATTGCATTTACTTCCTAACACGAAACTTTTTCGTAACAAAGCAACCCTTTGAAGAGTTCATTTTGACAGCTGTTTTTCACATAAACCCCATAGGATTTCATATTTGCTATTTTTGATTTAGCTAACATTTCTTCCCAATAAAAAATTGATTTGGCTTTGGAAAAGTTTATTAATTGCGTATATTCACAAAAAACTTTGCTGCAAAAATGCTGTATCTTGAAGATTATCTTGAAAGTAAGTCTGCTTTCATTGAATTAAACATTTTCAGGTTTTGTATATATAAGTTTGTATGTATGTTTAAACGAATTTTGTTTATTTTGTTGTGAATCGCTTTTTTTTTAATTGTTTACTGCAATTTTTCACCAACACAGTGATTGAGCACCTGCCTCAAGAGCTCCGAGATCGTTTTACAGAAATGCGTGAATTAGACCTAACTGTGCAAAGTAAGTGATTTATCAGCATTAATTTTGTTGTAATTGTTTGTACCAGACACTGTTCGGCCTGCTAATATAAGTTACCAACTGAAGAACTTCAGTTACTTACATAGAGAAGATAAATTTTAAGTTAAAAATTGGCATCTTACTGTCTCTGCGTCTGGTTACAACATTCATGGTCATTTGCTACAAAAAAATTAATATGATGTTTTGTTGTAGATAGCATGGATTCTTTGGAAAAAAAGACGAGAACCTTTTTTCAACAATGTAAGCGAGGTGAATTACAAAACGAGTCGGCAGACTCAGATTTTCAAAACCTACAAAAGGAATACTACAAAGTTCTGGAAGATGCAGACGAAAAAGTAAATATTGCAACACAAATACATGATTTAGTCGAACGCTATTTGCGTCGCTTGGATAGTGAACTCTTCAAATTCAAGTGTGAGCTCGAGGCAGACAACAATGGTATTACCGAAATACTGGAAAAACGTTCACTCGAATTAGATGGCGGTTCTAGTGCGGCCACATCTTTGATGAATGTAATTGGCGTTACTCAAAAGGAAAATAGATATTATGGCTCAATAGGAACGGCGGTGACTACAAATAGTCATAGCATGTTAGATGTCATAGGCGGTACAATAGGCGCTATATCACTACCTGTGACACCGACGGCAGGGACAAAAGACCGTTATCGTACCCCTAAGCCAGAGAAACGTCGAGATAGTACAACAAACTTATCGGGTTTGCCGGAAAAACGGCCGAATATGAGTAGTAACATTACGTCCGCAACCCCACCTGTGGCTGTAGTACGCCCTATAACGCCGGGGATAGCAGCACATGCAGTTCTGAATACAACATCATCTCCAGTTACTGCTGCCGGCACTCCCGCCGCTACAGCATATAATTTGCAACAATTAGGGGGATCGGCTTCTAATGCGATTGCTGCTGCTGCCAGCCAAGCTATAGTTGCAACACAACAAATGCCACAAGGAAGACGCACTGCAAGTCTTAAAGCAAGTTATGAGGCTATACACGGTGCTGGAGGGGGACCGCCAGAATTTTGGATTAGTCGTGACATTGCAAATGCCGCGACTGCAGCAGCACAAACAACGCTCCAAACGGCAGTAGTTGAAAAGAAACAAAAGAAGTATGTTGCCTATACAAGATTTTATAAAGAAAAACATTTTTTATTCCTTTTTATTTTTATAGAAAATTAAATACCAACAGTATAGGTCATGTCAATAGCGCAGGGAGTGGTAGCGCACCGTCGTCTGCTATATCGCTGGCTTCGTCTTCATCATCTGTGAGCGTAGACTCGGTCGATATGCTGCCATCCTCTTCTAACTTATCCTCTGTTGGTAATCTGGGTGTCAGTTCAATGGCGTTGTCAGCAATTGGAGCAGGTACCGCTTCTACTTCTGCAGCTGCAAACAACCGTACTAGCTCAGCTTCTTCTTCGATCTCAACAAGCACTCTTGCACCAGCTGCCAATTTAACGGTTAATGAAAATGGTTTAGTGGTGGAACAAACACCAGAAGGTGAATGGTCATATGATCCAAATGAACCACGGTATTGTACTTGTAACCAAGTTTCTTATGGCGACATGGTCGCTTGCGATAACGATGCTTGTCCCTATGAGTGGTTTCATTACCCATGCGTGGGTATTACACAGCCACCAAAGGGTAAATGGTATTGTCCCAAATGTACAGCATCGATGCGACGCCGTGGTAATAGAAAAAATTAGTTATAACGAAACTATAGTTTATTTCAAGATATGACAGCTTAGTTATAAAATAATACTTTAAATGAAATTAATAAACGGTCATAAACTATTATATAAAAAAATTACATTGTTTTATTAGTGTAGTTTTTTATTTGTCGACTTTTAGGAATCGAATTGCGGCATTAAAATGTCTGTTCAACTACCACCGTGCGTTACATGAGCGGTGTAGGTGATATGTATTATGCTGACCATATAAACATACAAAACACGGGAGTTTGTCGGAAGGAAGTAGAAGTTTATGAATTGGGCAGGTGGCCATAGCATCCATTCAAATCTGTATATTGTCCAAATCTTTTTCTTAAATAGCTGAAGTGATTCCTCTATGGAGTGACCCTCCATGACACCCAGAGTCGTAAGGAAAACCGTTAAATAAACGGGTGAGCATATTGTTTCATCTAGAATAATTTTTAGCAGCACACTTTTTATACTTGAATTCTGTAATCGTTTGTCAAGAAAAATGTACCAATGATGGCACACAACTCCGCTACAAAGACCAGCCACAGACATGCTAAATGTTCGTTTGGTATCGAGTTCTTGACGTTTACCTGCAAACTTTTCATAACTTTGATCTATAACATCGGCAACACCGCTTAACAGAAACGATATTACTGAGTTAGTATAGAACAAATATTTTTCACCAAAAGCTAGTTTGTAAATCCTTTTAAAGCTCGACATTTGAATTTCAGACTTCAATTTATTTACACATATATAATAGATTGAAACTGAAAATAATAAAACAAATTATTTGTTTTGTTTTTAAAATTTCGTGTTCGGAAATAAGGTGACACAAAGTATTGTATTATTTGAGCAAATTCAGCACATTTAGATAATATTTATCTGTACTAAAGTGCAGACAGTTAAGACATTTGTATTTGTAAATTGTAGTCTTTTTATTATAAATCAAAAAGGTGTCCAACAATATATGAATAAACACTGGAAGTTTTCACAGCTCAAGTATAATATTGTACGCGGCTCATTTGTTTAGTGCAAGTCCTTGATTTATCATACAATAATTTTTCTTGTATTTTGACTTACGCCCTTAAAAATTGTGATGAGTACTTTCCAAATTTAATCATTGTGCTTTACTTGCGATGTATAAACGTCATAGCCCAAACTAATGATATTGTCATAAAATACACGATAGCGCGTTGGCAACCAGTAGAAGTTTATAAATTGCGCAGGAGGCCATACCATCCATTCAGCGGCGTATAATTTCCACGATTTTTCCTTCATTTCTTGCCAAGTTTCTTTGATTGATTTGTCTTCTAAGGCACCCATTGTCATGAAAAATGCTGATATGTATAGTGGCGAGCAAATTAATTGATCTAAAACAATTTTTTTCATAACGATGCGTATCGTACGGCCTGGCATACGATTATCTAGAAACTTGTACCAATAATGGCATATTGCTCCAACACCCATACCGGATATGGCCATATGGGTAGTGCGCCTTTTGTTCCATTCCTTAATATCACCGCGGTATATTTCATATTGTTGTTCTATCAGATCACCAGCCGTACTAAGGCCCAAGGAAATTCCAACATTCGTAACAAGTAAATATTTGCTACTAAAGGCTCGCTTGTGTATTTCGCGAAAGAAAACCATAGATTTCAATGCTGCATTGCGTATTACTAGAACTGCCACGGGTGCCATTTGATGCTAATTGAATGTTGTTCTTTATGTGCCCTTCAATGTATGTACATATGTATATGCAAATTATATAAATTAAAAATATATATTTGTTATTGGGTTTACTTGATTCAATGTTTTTTATTCGTTTCCGTTGATGTTATTGATACGATTTGGGACACCAATACCTTTAGGGCGCTGCGCCACCACGCGCCCTAAAATCCAGAACAGCAATAGCAGCAGGATTTTGCTCAACGACTAGCGGTCATAAAAACCATTCAGAAAAAAGTTTTCAAAACAACACGTGCCGTATAGGTGTTTTGTTTTGACAGCTGTTTGTGCTTTTTTTTTAAGAACTAAATGCTCAGTGAACAGTGCCTACCTTCCCAGTAAACAAAAATCAGCTGTTTTCCCAAAGCATAAACAAAATATAATTTCACAATATGGATATATCAAAAAATATAAAATTTGCCGATATTTGTTCAATGCTAGATAAAGTAAAAAATTCTAAAAACCAAGAATCTAAGGAAAAAGTAATACGCCGCTATTATGACTCATTTCAAAAGTTTCGACAAATATTTCGCGAAAAACAAGGATTGGCTGCAAATTGTCCTGATGTAAACTGCCACTTCACAACTAAAAACTATTTTATTTCAAAAAACTTTTTTTTTTATAGGATGGTGAAACCAGTTTCTATAGTGTTCTAAGATGTTTAATACCCCGAGAGGATTTATCACGGAAGCCTTATGGACTCCAAATATCAACTCTCAGTAGTGTCTATATTGAAGTTCTACAACTAGCGAAAGATTGTGAGTATTAATTAATGTTAAATTCATTATTCTTACTGACAATATGAATATATAAAAAAAGCGAGTGAGGCCCAGCGACTAGAGGCACGCACATATAATGGAACATCTGGTGACTATGCAGATATTGTACATGCAGTTCTGATGCCTCAATGTAAGAATGATCCCAGTGAACTATCGCTGTATGAAGTACATCAGATGTTAGATAATATAGCAGAAGGCGATCGACAAGGTAAACTTTTTGTGGAAAATATATACTTTTATTTATATACATAAATGCAAACAAATCTCATAATTTTAAATCTCTGGTAGGACAGCTAATAATCTTTCAAAGTACCTATAAACATACATAATTAAACTGTTGAAATTGATACCGAATTCTCATTTCTTCTGATTCAGCTACAAAAAAGGTGCTCACACGTCTCTCAGAAGTAGCCTCAGCTAAGGAACAAATGTGGTTCATTCGTTTGCTATTAAAAAACATGCATTTGGGTATTGGAGAGCAACGCATTTTTGCGATCATGCATTCCCAAGCGAGGGATCTAAATAGGCGGTGCTCGAATCTAAAACGTGTATGCTGTTTAGTGGCTAATAACAAAATGAACGACGAATCCACAATAACTGAAAAAAATGTTACAAAATCCTTTACTAATACTTTCAACTTAAATACTGTCGTACAACCCTTTCAACACATACAAGCCATGTTATGTGAAATGTTTTCTGGTAACATAGAGCAATTAATGGCTGAAGATGTTCTTTACCTAGAAACGAAAATGGATGGCGAACGTTTTCAGCTGCATTATGCCAATAACCGATTTAAGTATATTTCGCGCAATGGTATTGATTATACGCATAGTTTTGGTGAGGATTATAAAAACGGGAAGCTAACTCCTTTACTGCAAACGCTATTACCAACTAACTTGCAATCAATAATTCTCGATGGTGAGATGATGGTTTACGACACTCAACTTAAATGCTACCGCGACAAGGGTGAAAATACAGATGTGAAGCATCTGAATAACAGAACGCATTGGAGACCTTGTTTTGTGGTATATGATGTACTTTATTTCAATGGTAATAGTTTTCTGGAAATGCCTTATGCACAGAGATGCCAAAAAGTGCTAGAGCTTATTAGATCAGAGGAGCCAGGGATTTTGGAAATAATGCGACCAATAAAACTGTCAACCACCAATCAATTCCAAGAGCTCTTTCAGCAGGCGCTGGACGCCAAAGCAGAAGGTGTGGTTTTAAAGAAACAAAACTCTATATACAAGCCTGGCATACGCAAAGGTGGTGGCTGGTACAAGATAAAAGCAGATGTAAGTATATAATAGGTCATTGCTATTTGCATACAAATTTATTTCGAATTTGACCTGTAATCAGTACATAGATGGTTTGACTACCGAATTCGATTTACTGGTTATTGGAGGTTTTTATAACCGAACGCGGACATTCATACAATCATTTTTGCTAGGTGTACTCAAGTACACCTCTGAGACACATTACGAACTTTATAGTGTGGGAAAAGTTGACAATAAGTCGCGACAGCGTACGGTACTGAATAATGCGCTTAAACCTTATTGGCACGATTGTAAGCAGGAGCCCCCACCACAATGGTATCATTATAAATCATCACGTGCTGATGGCCGACCTGATGTGTGGATTGAACCAAACAAATCTGTTATACTGCAAATCAAAGCTACCGATCTAACGCCTAATGCATCTTTTTTTCTACCGAAATCATTGCATTTTCCACGCGTAGAAATGTGGCGCAATGACAAAGCATGGAATGAGTGTCTCTCGCTGCATGATTACATGGAAATGATACAGGTTAGCACAGATTATTATATCATAAACTACATTTACAATTATATTTTCTTATTTATAGATGGAAAGAGGAATAAAAAAAATTCATAAGCGCAGTGTTGAATTAAGCGATTTGACATTACCACAGAAAAGACGCAAGTTAACTGCAGCCGAGCGTCGAAAATTGGGGATTTTGTCATATGAACGTCGTTTTAATCCAGACGAGGTAAGAAATTGGCACACTACACTATTATACAGCCAACAAAAAGTCCCCTTACACTTGTAGGTAGAACAGCATTCGAATTTATTTGAGGGATTCTCATTTTGTATATTGAGTGCCAGCTTGAAAAATGGCTATACACCTGAAGCATTGAAAGCTATGGTGGTTAGCAATGGTGGCGAGATAGTTGAGAATCCTATACAAGATTCCAAATGTATATCAGTGGCGGGTGATATGACTTTTCGAGTGGAAACCTTGTGCAAATCCCGTCGTTATAACATTGCGAAATTGAGTTGGTTGGTGAATACCTGTCGAAAACAGGAATTACAGTTAACACCCATCGATATGGTTTGTACAACGAATGAACTAGAAACTGAGTTTTCGCATATATTTGATAGATACGGCGATCCATATGCAGAATGTACAGATGTTGAGCATTTAATAACAGTGCTAGAAGGCATAACTGCTGAAGATGTGAGTATACTTTATCGTTTGCAAGTTATTCGAGTACAATTAGGTTTTTGCTTACAGATTGCTGCCGCACAACCATCTTCAGACGAAATAACCGATCTTGAATTACTATTCTGTGATGAGTCAATCGATTTATTTATGAACTGTAAAGGTTTCTTTTACAGTTTGGATAAGCAGTCACAGCTTGCGAAATTAATTTTTAAATATTTTGGTGGTAAATGTCATGAAATTGTGGATGAGAAAAGTTTAAATAGTATTGAGTACATATTCATCAATGTAAATTTAGTTGATAAAGTTAAACTTAAGGCGTGGATTCGTGAAAATTTTAAAAATCATTTGGGAAAATTAGAGGTCGTAAACATTGCATGGATAACACATTCTGAACGAGCAAAAGGAAACTGGATGAATGCGAGTATATGTGTGGAATAACTTTTTAGAGTAGTTAGGAAATAATTTTGTTTTACATGTTGCTCAAATGTTTATCTATATAACGTTATAATTTCTTTCAAAATAACTGTTACTTTTTGTGCATCTGTTTATATTTATATATATGTATAAATAAGCATTGTGTCAGCATATTTTGTATAATAGACAAAAATAACATTAATATACGTTTTTAATATTACTTTATGCTTGTATAGTAGTGCGATATCAATAAATAAATGCTATAATTATATGCTTCAATTTGCTCGAATACTCATTTCATTATTATCGCTGTTCTTAAAGAAAAAAAAAACCATAAATAATAATAAAAGTTAAAACAAATAAAAATTAAAAAAAGACAAAGCAAATAAAAATTAAAAAATACAGGCAAATAAAAATTAAAAAATAAAAGCAAATAAAAATTAAAAAAGGAAAAACAAAAAAAAAATAAAATGTTTAGAAAACTTCTATAACCACATCCCTTTAAGAACTTTTTCATTTGCTTTCTAAAATTAAATTTGGGTACGAGCTTGTGTTAAATATATTCTATTGAAGGTGTTCATTTAATTGTAACAATTTTAATATGTAAATTACGAGATTATTGAAAATTGATACTGCGAGCTACTCCTGATCTTCCACACAAAACTGTCAGAAAATCGAGATGCAGCTAAATAACGCTATCCCATGCAAAAATAATGGATTTCTTTTTACCACACCTAATATTTGCCTAAAACAGCCAGATTTATATATGTAAATAGAATATGAATTGTCAAACATAAACATGACGTCAAAAAGTTTTGATTCATATACATATAAATACATATTTATTTTTAGTTCCATTTTTTACTGTTAAAAATAAAAACTCCTTATTTTCGACATCAAAAAAAAAAACAAATACTTGTATATATACCAACTAAACTTATAACATAAATTCACATCTGTGAATTTTTTATGTAAATACTATTATTATTAAATTTCCAACAGGTTTGGTTTATTATTATTAAATTTCCAACAGGTTTGGTTGAAGATTTCATGACGTAATATGAAGCAAACTTAAAACTGGCTTTTTTCTAAGTTGCAGCTTTAATTCATTACATTTCATTAAGGTATGTATGTATGTATATGGACAAATATTTATATGTACATGATCTTTCTTAAATGAGGGATTCCACATCTAATTCGTTTTAATTCATATTTCTTTAATCAGTCCTAAGAGGTCGAAGCATACATATCTACTTATGACAGCATTTTCTCTATTTTAGCCATGATGTGCCAACTGAATTATCGTCCGAAATTTTTGTTAAAATTTTTTTGTTGAATAAAGAAGAGTATTTCCAAAGCGACTATTTTTAACTACTTTATTTTTTTGTTTTCAAAAATAACTCTGTTAGTCCCCCAGCTTGAAAAATATACATACATATGTACTTATGTTGTATTGATAATTTGTCTGAACCAGCCAGATGGGATATAATGTACATACATACATATGTATATACGAACAAATTTTTAGACTTAAGTTTTGTGGTTAAAAATCTAACAGTGTGCAAGTTGGTTATGTGTTGTTGTTTAATGTAATTAGTATTTTGTGGCGTAGCTTTTATTGGTTATAACCGCACCAGATTTGGCATATCTGAACTTGTATGGAATGCGATGCTCGCCGAAGATCGCTCTTGCTGTCGGCTTTGCATGCCAATCTGCTTGTTTAATGTCTCGCAACAAGTTCGCAATATGGTTGAGATTCGCAGATTGTCTAGCCAAACGATCACCTCTACCCTATATGCCACAATCCACTGTTTCGCCTATTAGCTAGTATGTGCCGAGTCAAAGTTTGGCTGGTAGACCATCTCTATGGGGCAACTCTTCTTTGGCATAAGACAACATCACTTTATCCAATATATGTATGCATGAGGCCTAGCCTGTAATATGAAAAGCAAACCGGAATCATTCAACTCGATCCATCATGCGTAACGACATTAAACGATTTTCGGGTTCGTGTTCAGTATTGGATTTTCGCCTAACGTACTGTCTTGTATCCTTTCCGCCAAAAAGACAAATTTAACTTTCGTCAAAACAAAGTATATTCCATCATTCTTCAGTGGATCATTAAAAATTTTCTTATTCGAACCTCAGACTGTGAATTATGTGATCCTTTACTTTAACGATACTTTTCATGGACCACTAACGTAAAACTAACTTTCTTTTAATCTTCTAATAGTTTCTACTCCTCCTTCCATTCTTAACTCTACGCCTTTAGATCCTCAGCTGTTAGTAAGTGATTATTTTGACTCTGCCCTACCAATCGTGACACATTCCGTGGAGTCATTGTAGGCTTTCTACCGCGAGTGTCCTTTTTTGTTCTTAAATTTCAACGCATTTGAAATAATTTTAACTGACGAGCTGATAATATTTATGCAAGTAAATGTAAATTTTACCTTCTTAAAAATTCTTTTGATTAATTCACTTATTTGAAGCAAAAATTCAGTAATAGCCTATTAATTTTACTTTTTTTCTACAACTTACTTGTAATAAAATTATTTTTCTTAAAAAATTTTTATTATATTTTATTTTATTTTATTTTATTTTATTTTATTTTATTTTATTTTATTTTATTTTATTTTATTTTATTTTATTTTATTTTATTTTATTTTATTTTATTTTATTTAATTTATTTTATTTTATTTTATCTTGCTTTAATTTGAGTTGTTTAATTTATTGTTTACCATTTTTATTTTAGTTTGTTTTATTTTTTTCGTATATGATTTGTTAAATATTTCAAGAGTAATTTCGTTACTAACAAAAAATAATGTTTTATAATAATTTTTTCTGTTGCATTTATCTATAAGAACTGAATGCCAGATGCTTGTTGCCTTGGGCAAATATAAACTGTAACTTCGCCTAATTTTGTTTATATTTGTGAATTGGTGATGATTTTAAATAATTTTAATTTTAAAGAGTTGAATTTATTGCTGGTCTTCAAAGACGAGTAAAGTAACGTATTTATTAGCTCTGTTCGGTGAGAAATATTAGTAAGAATTAGACAGTAATGGAAATAGGAGAGTAAGATGTTTTACCACACAAAATATAAAAATGTACTCAGTACTTACTGTACAGTAAACATTTTTACTTTTAAATCTGTTCAGTTATACGGTTTCTTGTGTGGACCTTCCCCTGATTTTGGATCAAAAAATAGTTTTGTTTTTCTACGCAAAAAATGAAAGCCATATATTTGTAGAGTACGTGTTTAAAGGGATTTTGCAATACGATGAATATTTTTCAAATTTTAGCTTCTGGAGTACACCTGTCTCACACACGCTGCGAACTTTCAAAAAACTTTGAGCACGTTTTTCTATAAACCATGTTTTTCAATCTAACTTCAACCCCCGCGCTTGAACTATCCATCCGATTTCTTTTATCTAAGAACTGTTTCAAAGTATATAGTTTGTTTGTACGTCTTGAGCTTAAGATTAACATTAATTATAAATTATTTAAATTTTTTTTCAACTTAATTGAAGTAAGAAAAGTAGCAAAAAATTTAACCTTATATTTGCAATGAGTATTATGTAATAAATTTATGGTTAAAATTGTTTCAATTGAGGTTCCGGACGTAGAAAATTACATGATCTTCAGGTAGTGACAACGATTTCTGTAGGTTTGAAGTTGTTGAGCCATGTTTTTCGGGCAGAGTACGAAGAAAACACTATTTTATAACCGTGTTTTTAAATTTTTTTGCCGTTTTGAAATCTCTAATAATGAACAAATTTAATATTCAAAACCGGAAGTTCGTACGCCTTTTCATTCTCCCATAAAAAAAATACAAACTTTGCCTGATTTTTGTCAAATATCAGGGGAGGGTGCTCTAGTGTGAAATTTCACAAAAAAAATGGATATTTTTTTATATTTCGGTAGATTACACCTTTAAAAATATTATAATATTAAAATAACATATTAAAACTTTAAATCGATATCTCAAATAGTTTTTGAGTTATAGCAATTTAAAGAACAGCAGCTCGGCAGCTAGAGAGTTTCATTACCTACGAGTGAAAACGATCATTTTATCTTTAAACGCGTTTTTCTCGAAACAGCATTTTCCGAAATTGCTGCAGTGATTATTCAAAAACAAATGATCCGATCACTATCGAATTTTTTTAAATGTTCTATATATAGTTCTCCGTACAATGACCTATCGATTTTTGACCTGATCAAAAAATCGAATTTTGGCAGGCCAAAAACGACCAAAATTTTGGGTAAAATTCGATTATTTTTTTTTAAACGCCGCCATATTGTCAATTTTTGATTTTTTTATCGTAGGTCATGGTACAGACAATTTTATCTAGTAGAGAGTTTTTTTTTCCATTTCATCCACGGAGAAGGCCGGAATCACTGCAGCAGTGAGGGACCTTTTTTTCACGCCGTTGGAGATCGACTATAACTTAAAAAATACTTAATTTTTTTCTTCAAAAATTTTACTGTACATTCTTGAAACATGTATAAATATATCCTTAAAATTTTTAAATAATTGATAAAGCATTTTTTTTTTTAATAAAAATTCCCAAAAATCACCTTTTTTTAGTCCATTACACAAGGTGTGCCCCTCACGTCAAAATTGCATTCTCCGGTTACTCGTTTACTGGCTTACTGGCTTTTTGGCTCAACAAACGCCATTAAGTAAAATTCGATAACAATTGTTACCGCTCATCAGGTCCCCGAACAGCACTATTACATCAAGCTTATTCATTATTTACTTACTACTACCATGTCTAGCGATTGGGGGTTTTTCAAAGCCAGATTTTATGAAATAATATAATAAAAAAAATGTTTTCGTATAAATTATGCATATAATCGGTTGGCAAACCGGTTCTTTTCGAAACAAAATCGTTTCTTCTTGTCAGCAACTGCAGACAAAAGGTTCAATGTTCTTGTAAATCCCGCAACAAATATTATATGAGATATTGGGATGTACACATATTTTTTTGTTTTAATAATTTGTACGCAGATTTCAAGTGATACAGAAGTGATGATGTTTTCCAATACTATTTTATTTTTATTTTATTGCCTAAATATAGTATAATTTTTAAAAGTGCACTTCAAAAGTGGACTGATAAATACGGAAGCAAAATTTCGAATTACTATCATTTTTTATTAAAATATATACCCTGAAACGATTGATCTGTGTATATATGTGTGTATGGCTGTATGTGCTAATCAATGATTTCAAATAGTAGGACGCGCCATGAGCTATTGTTATAAAAAACAATTCAATGCAAATACGAACAAATCTTTTTTCGCTTTCAAATCAAACATGGAGTGTCCAAAAATTATCGAGCTAACTTGATCGGGTACGAGGGCTACGCAAAAACTCTGCCGTACTGCGGATCCGGCACCCGGTTGCAATGCAACTACACACTGAAATGACCTTGCGATACCTCTAACCTCTATAAGGTTTGACTGATGAGGAAGAATGTAGTTATGTGTTCAAGTGAGCATTTAGCTAGGGTGTAGCCCACTGATCTTATCCCGATGGCCGTGAGGTAATCGCAACGCTCGAAGAAAAAAAGTAATTCGAAAATCTTCATCTGTGCAATTAGCCAACGCCTAAAGTTGTGCAAGCACTTACGCTACTCGCGTAAACAATAACGAAACGTTGCAAACTCCGAGGAATCCTGTTCCCCGTTGAGTTGAGTTGATGCGGCTGCTGGTCATATCCAGAATACTTAGGCCAATGGGGTTATTGTGATACCGCTAAGGCTTCTGCCTTCACCTTCTGAAATGATCAATTAATTTCGTCTGCCTTATAAAGGCAACGAGATTTCCGATGTTCGCTGATGTCAACTCAGCGAGACAGCCGTAGAAGTGTTTCCCAAGAAACTTGTGTCACGCGGTAGTCACGGCTGGACAATGGCAGAGGTAGCGCTCGATGGCTTCTTCCTCTTCTTCGTACCTACAGCTGTGGTATAAATCGTTAGTGGAATAACCCATGCTATTCCCATGAAACCCCATTAAACAGTGTCCAGCTATTATACCAGTCGTTATGTTAATGGAGAACCGGCCCAGAAGGATAAAGTGTTTAGATTTTTTCGCATCCTACTTCGGCCATAGTTGTCTGGTCAGCTACACTGATGAAGGCCAGTTTAATCATTTACTTAGCCGTGGATAGAGGTAAACCAGCTAGCCCTTGGTAGCTCGTCTGCCATGCAATTGTCTGGGATGTTCCTGTGTCCAGGTACCCAGACCACGGCAGTACTGTACTTCGTTGAGAGTTTGTTAAGAGTATTTTTACAGTTTAAGGCCACTTTTGACGTGGTACCGTTACATTGAAGAGATCTGATTTCAGCCTGACTATCAGAGTAGATTGTTACAGATGGTCCTTCTGCCGTAGATTTGTGCAACCATTCCGCGGCCTCTATGATTGCAAAGAGTTCCGCTTGGAACACGCTGCAATAATCCGGTATTCTCATGCTCATGCTTACTGAAAGCACGGGAGAATAAACTCCGCAACCCACCCTCACATCGAGCTTCGGACCGTGCGTGAATATGACAGTTGCTTCTTGGTCGGGGGCGTTAGTGTTTTCCTACCCTGCAGCTGTTTGCGATTTTCTTGGAGAAAAAATTATTGCAGAATACACTGGAGATGGTGTTGTCCAGCTCCTTCGGCGCTTCTGTAAAGGTTGAGTTGCATTAAATCTTATTGCGTTGCAGCCCGCTTGTAGTTTCTCGTATAGGTACAGAGGAAGGAGGTTAAAAAGAGTTAGCACTGCTTTCGAAGGAGTTGATGGCAGTGCTCTCGTTATCAGGATGGTCGCCGATCGTTGAACTCTCTCTAATTAGCCGCTGAAGATAATTTTATCGAGTGTTGGCCACTAGACGGTGACCCCCTGGAATATGATTGGTCCAACTACTGATGTATATATTCAGCGCACGATATTCGGTCTGAGACCCTATCTCTTTCCTATCGTCGTTCTGCAGGCGTAGAAAGCAGTTATAGCTTTCCTTGATCGTTCAGCCGTGTTCCGGCTGCAGATTGGTTTTCTATCTAAGATTATCCCAAGGTATTTGACTTCGGAGAAGAGTGTAATCTCCACCCCCTTAAGTATGGGTGGTTTAAAGCATGCGGTTTGTACATCCACTCGGTTTTATCAGAACTCACGTCCAGCCCGCTGTCTCTGCACCATCCTTCAACTATACAGAGAGCTGTTTCCTGTTCCCCGTGGCACCAGATAAAGTCTTCGGGCAGACCTCGTAACAGAAGCCACTACCAGTTGAGCCCCATACAGCTCAGCACTGTTGGCCTGTAGGTGTATTTTAGTCGACTTTTGCGACGTGCATGTATTACCACGTGGTTTTCTTCACACAGTGTCAGATGATGAAAGTGGCATAATAATTTCTCTCATCAGCCTGAACATAGTGCTATACATTTTAGAGAAACTCAATTTAATTTTTGTTTTAATTACCGCCGCACTCCGAGTATACTTCCAAGGTTCAAGTTCTGCTTCGACTAAAATCCAAAATTATAGTAAATTAATATTTCTAATTGCGGTCGCCGCTCGGCAGGGAACTCCCAACAAGGAATAAAAGCTGCTCTCAAAAAATATTGGCTCTACGGAGTTGGTTTGTAATGAACCATACCACAAAACCGAAAATCGTTTCAGCGGTTATATAGCGCCAATTATGTATTCATGAAAGGCATACAAATTATCTCACCTCAAAAGTCTAAGCAAAGTCCTTTTGGGGCAAAGAGCTCGCTCTTAACGGTTTAAAAAATCATATACTATATATTGTAATTAGTTAAAGAACAAGCGACGATTTATCATAATATCAGGTGTACAACTTTGCTTTCGCCGTGTTCCGATAGGTGGCTGTTGAAATACATAGATGATAATGCCTTTAAAGTGAGTGTGGACAGTGCCTAATGAATTGTCATCGCCGTTTCAGTGACAGTTGTTCTTGTTTTCGTATTATTCACGCTCGAAAATGTCCGTTTATGTGCCTAATTCTCGCCATTTGCGGGAAGTTTTACTTTTCTGTTACAATTCGAAGAAAAATGCAGCTGAAGCGCATCGAATGCTCACAGAAACTTACGGTGATGCTGCTCTGAGTGAAAGAACGTGTCATGCTTCTTCGTTGAAGGCAAAACCGAATAATCACGGCGCCAAGTTTATGATTTGTATTTGGTGGGATCAGCTCGGTATGATTTACTAGGAGCTCTTAAAACCGGATGAAACCATCACAGGAGATCGCTACCGAACGCAAATGATGCGCCTTAGTCGCGCGCTAAAAGAAAAGCGGCCACAATATCAAGTGCGACATGACAAAGTCATCCTCCAACACGATAATGCTCGGCCTCACGTCGCAAAAGTGGTCAAAAAGTACCTGGAAACGCTGAAATGGGAAGTCTTGTCCCACCCGCCGTATTCCCCATATGTCGCCCCCTCTGACTTCCACCTATTCCGTTCGATGGCACACGGCTTGGCAGATCAACATTTTCAATCCTTCAAAGAATTGGAAAAATGGATTGCTTCATGGATAGCGTCAAAAGAGGACTCCTTTTTTCGAGCCGGGATCCGAAAATTGCCGGAAAGATGGGAGAAAGTTTTCGCTAGCGAAGGACAATAATTTGAATAATATATCTGTAAGCACTTTTTCGCAAAAAAGCTATTAATTTTGGAAAAAAAACGGCGGAAGCAAAGTTGTACACCTGATATTACATTTACATATTACCAATCAAGAATCATCTTTTCTTAACGTAGGTCAAAATTTCAATGAGATAATAAATAAAATTTCATAAAAGTTACAGAAATTCAGCAAAACTTAAAATAAAATATTAATTTTGTTTAACAAACTTGTGTATGTACATCTAAAGCCGGTTTCCAAGACCATCAAAACCAAAAACAAAAGCTTTTATGCTAATCATTTAAATGTACATATGTATGTACGTGCATGTATATATATATATAATATGTTATGTGTAGACACAAAAATATTCTGTCAATTTTAAAAACATCGAGCACTTGTCGCTACAACTTCTACATACAAATTTGCTCGTGGATATATTAAGTACATACATACATTTGTACAAGTATGTCTGCGGCTGCGCAAAGCGCCAAATGATTACAGCATAGACAAAGCGAAAACGTCTCAGCTGATGCCACCATCCGCTTATCCGCTTGATTCTCGCTCAAGTCGCGTGCAAAGGTGCTTCAAATACAAAATTGTTGATCATTATGAATCTAGATGGGATGTTGACTGTTAATTGCAGTGACCATAAGTGGCTTTGAGGAAAACAAAAAATACATACATACATACTTATATGTATATGCACAAATTTAAAGCAAATGAAAAAGTGATATTGAGTGTGTCTGTTTGATACGCAAAGTAGAGATACGTGCTTAAAAAAATATATATCGTCTATAAACGGATAGAATTTAACGAAGTGGCGTGTGGCTGGTGCCGATTGAAGGCGATGGCGTTTCGTTAAAGCCGCTTTGTATATGCAAATATACGTGTATGTATGTACGTAAAAGTAGTTAGAAACGGAGAAGTAAGTTTATGATTAGGCTGGGCTTCGAGGGCATATAAAAGCTTCTGTTAAAGTTAACAACTAGTTTCATTTCATTCGACGGGAAGAATAGTGTAGCTGTGTGTTTTAAGTGCGCCAAAGAGCTGTTGAGCCTAGAAATTTAAAAAAAAAAATAAACTAACTCAAATATTGCGATACGAAAAATTCGAATTTTCGAAATTTAAGTTAGTCGTGCAGTGTTTATCTAAGAAGATATTTAAAATGTACAAATTCGTTTTTGTGGCCATCATGGCTTTGGCAGCACTGCAGGTCCAGGAGAATGAGGCATTCATCATTGTGTCTAAAAGTATGGATTAGTTTTGACTTGTAAAAAAACAGATATTCAGAAGCAAAAAAAAATAAATAAATAATAATTTACTTGTTTGATTATTATATAAAAATTCAATATAAAATACTCACGACAAATACGTACATACATGTTAATGTATAAAAAATAATGAAGTGATCAGCAAGTCTTATTTTTCTTTTTTTTAACTTTATTTATTGTGTTTCGCAACAAGTTTAATAATGGTTCTTAAAAAACAAAAGGTCTAAAAGAATTCAGCAATAGAAATAGCATTAAAATAACTGAAGCGGTTGAATATCATATGTTCATATGTTATTTTGTTTTATTTTGTTTTTTAATTATGTTTAATTTTATTTTAGTTTTTCATTTTGTTTCTCTTTTTATTTTAGTTTTTTATCTTATGTTATATAATTTTCTTTTTTATTTCATTTTGTTTGATTTTAGTTTAATTTATTTTGTTTTTGTATTGTATTATTTTATCCCCCTTTAGCATATTTTATTTCATTATGTTTTATTTTATTTTATTTTATTCTTTACTATCTTATTTGGTTTTGTTTTATTTTAGTTTTTTTTTTATTTATTTTATTTCCTTTTATTTTATTTTATTTCATTTTTGTTTATAATACTTGGAGCAAGGATATTTATGAAAACGTTTGTTTTTAATTTCATATAATTTTTATAATGTTATTTTATCTTCTCTTATTCTATATTTTTCCTTTCTGTTTTATATTATTTTAATTAGTTTTGTTTTATTTGATTTTTTTATTTTACTTCATTTCATTTTATTTTATTTATTTTATTTAANTGTTTTATTTTATTTTATTTTTGTAATTTAATTCTGTTTATAATTTTTGGAGCAAGGATATTTATGAAAAAGATTTACTTTTTATTTCATTTAAGTTTTAATATTTTATTTTATCTTCTCTTATTCTATTTTCTTTCTTTTCTATTTTACTCTAATTTAATTAATCTCGTTTTTTTTTATTTTGTTTTATTTTATATAATCCTTTTTTAACTTTATTTCTTTTATTTAATATAATTTTATTTTAACTTATTAACTGTTTTATTTCATTTCAGTTATTTTTGTTTATATTGTTTCATTTTATTTTATATTACTTTATTCTTTTTTATCTTATTTTTATTTTCTTATTTTATTTTGTTTTTATTAATTTTTGTTTTTTATTTTAGTTTAAAATTTTTGGAGCAAAGATGTTTATGAAAACAATTATTTTCTATTTCATTTAAATTTTATTATTTTATTTTATATCCTCTTTTTCTATTTTCTTTCTTTTCTATTTTATTCTATTTTAATTAATTTCGTTATATTTTATATATTTTTTTTATTTCGTTTCACTTAACATAATCCTTTTTCAATTTTATTTCATAATTTCATTTTTGTTTTATTTTTTATTATATAATTTGATTTTATTTGATTTTACTTCATTTTTTTTTCAATTTATTTTATTTCATTTTGTTTTACTTTATTTTCTTGATTTCATTTTCTTTTCATTATTTTATGTTATTTATTTATGTTTATTAATTTTGGAACAGATTTGTTCAATTTTATTTTATTTTATTTTTATTTTGTCTTGATTTATTTTATTTATTTTTAATTTATTTTTTTTTTTTTGTAATATTTTATTAGATATTTTTTTTAGTTTTAGTTATTTTAATTTATTTAATTTTATGTTACTTTTTCTTCCTTTTAGTTTATTTTTCAACTTACCTTTGATTTTTTTCATTTATTTATTTATTTATATTTGTCATTTTTTTTTAATTTTAATTTTATTAATTTTATTTTAATTATTTTATTTTATTTTTCCTTATTTTATTTGTTTAATTTTATTTGATTTTATTTTAATTTAGATTATTTTGTTTTTATTTTATATTTTGCCTTGTTTTATTTGATTTTTTCTTTCGTTGTATTTAGAAGTATTTATGAAAATTTAGAGTTTCTTAGAAAAACAGAATAAAACCAAATTTGGCAGACTCTTTATCTGTTGACATTTTAATGTTAAATTAAAATTTCTTTAAACAATTAATAAACACATTTCATTTTATTATGCTTGAAACTTCCGGTTACAAGAGCCACATAAAATTAAAAGCAAAAATTAATTCGGTTTTCTATGAATAACAATATACCAGAACAATTAATATAATAGTAGTAAGACTGGTTTGATATTTCTTAATAATTTTAATATATTTTATATATCAACATTAGTTAAATTAACCTTAAAAGCTTGCGGAGAAATAATTTGAGTATCGAATTCGTTGATTGATTTTTGTTGTTGAAATAATCGATAAATATACACCTGCCATTAATTTTAATTAATTAGTTTTAATTCACATCAAGTTTTAGTTACAACTTCACATATGTATGTATATACATGTCTACACTAGTTCTCAAACCTTTCACTTTCTTTATATGTATTTCAAATGTATAGGTATCAGTGCCGCTCCAGCCGTTTCTGCTGCCCCTGCCTTAGATCCCAATGCCCTCGTCCAAGGTCTAACTAATGCTGTGACAGCTAAGATTCAAACGGTTACTCAACTGGTGGGCGGTCTGGTACAGGCAAAAACCAATTTGAAGCAGAATTTACTCCGAAGTGTTTTGAATTCCGTCAGCAGCGCTAGTGCTGCTCTACCTAGTCCCGGTTACATTACGAAAACAATTCGTATACCCGTTTTCGTAAAAAGTGTCACTGCATATGCACCAGCGGCTACCACTACTACATCGGCAGCAGTTCCAGCACCCGAAGCAACTACGACGACTTCTCAATCGGCTGGTTATTCTTACAGTTTAAGACACCGACACTGAAGATATTCATATTTATATATATACATATACGCAAATATATATTTCCGTGCTTAAGTTGACACTTAATTTTGGGCTGAGTAATTAAGTGTTACAGAACAGTTTAAGTTTTAGGAAGCTTCAAATTCATATTGTTCAAATTACAAATTATAATACGATTATATGTATGTGCATACTTATTTGTAAAAAGATATATTTCACGATATTCCAAAAATAAAAAATTTAAAAAAAAAATCTCTTTTTATTTTTTACTTTCATCTATCTATGTAGGTATGTTTATAGCCATTTTTGATCGGTATGTATTTATAAGGATTTATGAAGAAAAGATAAGGGATTGTCCATAAACCACATGGTAACATTTTAGGCCTTCCAGTATCCCTCCTTCCGTTAATGTAGTGTATCGTAGTCATGTGGTTTTGTTTCACACATATTTTCGTTTTCCACTTTTTCTTTACTGGCATAGGCAAGGCTATAGCGCTAATTGGAAATGCTAAGTACAGCCAGGTCCTTCTCTACCTAATCTTTCCAACGGAGTGGAGGTATTCCCCTTCCTCTGCTTTCACCGACCCATACTGCACCTACAATTATCAAAGCTGGAGTATTCTTATCCATCTGGACCAGTATTCGTCGTTGACAGAGGAAGGCGCAAAGGACTATAAAACTTCTGCAAAATATTTCTCTCGAAAACTTTTAGCGCCGATTCATTGTTGTATTGTCAGTCCTTGTTCGTTGTGAGAGGTACAAATTGTATACAATTGAAGTATATGACTATCAACAGTGACCGAGTAGCGAATGAGATAATTGTTTCTTTCAAGACAAGAGATATTTCGTATTGTTCTCACAGCCAGATTCATACGCGGTCTAGCGAAAGAATATAAATTAAAGTAAAGGTCAAACGTGACGAAGTCACCCTGCCTGAAACTTACCTTGGCACAGCCTGACACAGAAAGGTCTTTTCTGATGCTGACAAACCTACTGATGTTGCTCCATGACAGTTTATACACCTTCATAAATTTTATAAGGTAGACTTTGCTCCTTTTCGTGCTGTCGTAGGCTACTATGACATAAGCGAGGGGATTTTCAACCCTCTTTCCAGGGGCACTTTCCAAGATTTGACTATCTGGTCAATTGTAGATTTTCCAGGCGTAAAGCTACACTGGTAAGGTCCAATCGGCCGCTTCGTTTTTCTTCAGGCGGGCTATTAGAACTTCTTCATAGTTGGGCAATGGAACATATCTTCTTTTGCCATCGATTGGGGAATTATGTTTACATTACCAACCCCTGTGGAGCCTTGGGTCACGACTAAAGCAGAGGAAGCTTCAGTGCAGCCTCTGTTGTGGTCTCTCTTGTGGTCTTATAGCAAGCAGCTGATCCTAGAAACCAGTTCCCCATTATTTTGTAGTTCATGATGTCTTCTCTTCTAGGTGGAAATATATAAGTATATGTCTATAAAAGCCTTAAAAGCTAAGGCGATTATTAGCCACTAATTACGTAATTACCCGCCTACGAAGCGGAAATTTATCGGAAATCAAATAGAAAAAATCATAATTAATTACACGGAGGAAAAGCGGATAATAAGTAAGTTTAGGCTACGGTGTTGGTCTGACCATATATATGTATATTGGTTGCTGTCCCAGTCAACATTTCTGCATAAAATAGCAGGAAGGGAATGATGAGTGACTTACAAAAGTTGCTTTTTCTTCGACTTTATTTCTCATAGGTGAATATTATTTTATCCAGGCTAAGGTTTACGAAGCCTTATGAACCCAGAAGCCCTTGTCTGAAATCTCATTTGGCACTAAAAGGCTTGGAGGGTCCCGTTTTAATGCAGCTATTTTAATCGCTATATAATTTAAGTATCTACTTTGTCAGTTCTACAACCCCATATTGAAATAGCTCCGCTGATATAAAGAAGTGGTTCAATGAACTCAACATGATCTGAAATTAGTTATCACCGTAACATCATTTGTAAGTCAACCCATTCTACCAGAATTTTCGAGCATTTTCCTTGTAGACCAGTTCTCGATCTATCTCCTTCCTCTTCAAATCTCGACATCTTTCCTATATCAGACTAATTTTGGTTCTTTCTCTTTTATCGTCCTTCTCTGACCTAGTTCTATTAAAACAACTAAAGCATAATAGTTGAGGTTACAAACCATGAGAATATTATCGAATCTTTTAAATAATGCATACATTAGTTAAGAAGCTAACCGACCGGGCTAAATCAAAATCAATTCAAAGATTTGTCGTCTTCCTGACGCATTTTCCCCATTCAGCTTCCGCATGCCCATATAAATGTGTCACTACGCAACATTGGAACCTTATGCAGCACAAACACCGTAGCTCGCGCGCCTTTTCTAAATAATTTATGCAATACATATCTTTACACATACATACATACATACATATATATTTTATTATTTATGCATATTTATGCGAAAAAAAAGTATATTTGAAGCACGTCGATAGTCTAAGTCAGACAAATCAATCGGTGCTCGTGTCATGCGAAATATGCATGTATGTATGTGCACATCGACACAAAGTTGGCATAAATTAATTTAGAAAATCATTAATAAATTTCCAAAAAGAATTCTTTCTTTATCAGACGTGTGTAGACTAGTGATTATTCTTTTGTGGTGATAATTTAAAAATATAAATTTTTTTGTACGAGTACTTATGGGACAGCCTGTTTAGCTGAATGCTGAATGAAAATTGTTTACGTTTAATTAAGAAGAAGAAGCATTTGAAGTGTAGAGTATGTGGGGGTTTTAAATGTTTCTTTATTTGGCATCGAAAGCAAAAAAAAAAAGTTGTTGAGATTTTTCTTACTCGGATATATAAAAATGAAGCGAAAGACAATAGACTAACTGCTCAAGTGCAGACTCTTATGTAAATTTTTGAAAATTTGGCATTAGTAGCTGAGGGATGTACCGAAGCAGGCACAGGTCCAGACCTCATTCAATTTAACTCTTAACTCAATGACTACAAGCCCTCCGAGTAGTAATTTTGTGTTTTAATGAAGATGTCAAAGAGAAAACCTATTAATAAGGGATTCTAATAGGTTTCTGGTTAGTAATCAAGCGAAAATAAAGCGAATTGACAATGTTTTTGAATATAAATGCATGTGAGTAATAGACCTGCTTTATCAATATTAACATAGTTTAGATTGCAGATCAAATGACGCTACTGCAACCGTCAACTGGTTCAGACTTTTCAGTTCCTTCAGATGTGGTCATAATTAATGGATTTAGATACTTCAATGTAAGTACTTACATTATGTAAAATATATCTTACTTTCCTGTATACTTACAAATCCCGAGGAAGAAACAGATAATTTGAGCGCAGTGCTCAAAAGTCGACGAAACGCACACTAAAACTTCAAAATCGTCCTAGCTTTATATACGAATTATATAATATATTCCCAAAGATTTTCAATACTCGATCTTCCATAGCCCTTGCTCAAAGTACGGAACTCAAAGTACGGAACTTAGTTTTGGGTTTTCACTAAAAGCTTTCTAGTTTCCGATACTTAACCCGTGACGCTTTATTAATGACTCGATTAATTCCGAGTCACGGGTTAAGCGGACCCTACCTTGATATTTGATAAAAAAAATCGATTTTTTTTATGCAAAAAATGGAAAGCCATATATTTGTAGAGTAAGTATTTAAAGGGATTTTGCAGTACGGTGAATATTTTTCAAATGACAATTTCTCGAACACACCTGTCTTACGCTCGCACGCACGCAAGACAAACTTTTAAAAAACTATGAGCGTCTTTTTTTTCGAAACCATATTTTCCGAGCTAACTTCAAGCCTGGGTCTTAGTCTATCCGTCCGATTTCTTTTATCTAAAAACTGTTTCAAAGTATATAGTTTTTTGTATATCTTGAAGCTAAGATTAATATTAATAATAAAAAGGAGAAAACAATTTAGCTTTATAATTGTATTGAGAATTATGCAATAAATTTATCATTAAAACTGTTTCAATTGTAGGTAAGACGTAGAAAATTTCATGATCTTCTACTACAATAGGCTTCAGGCTTGAAGTTGTTGGGCCATGTTTTTCGCGCAAAGGCCGACGGAAACTGCCGTTTTTAGCCGCCATGTTGAATTTCGACAATTTTTTTGCCGTTTTAAAACCTCAAATAATAAACAAGTCTAACAGTCAAACCCGGAAGTTCGTACACCTTTTCATTCTCCCACAAAAAAATACAAACTTTGCCTGATTTTGTCCAATGGCAGCCGCGGTAGCCAAGTGGATAGCTTTGCGTACTGCCATTCGGAAGGCACGGGTTCAAATCCCTATGCGAGCAACATCCAAACGTTAAAAAAAAAAAAAGATTTAAATAAAAAATTAAGTTAAATTTTCTAATTGCGGTCGACCCTCGGAAGGAAGTGTCAACCTTTCCGAGTGTATTTCTGACATGAAGTGAAGGCTCTTCATAAAAAAAACCCATCAGCCGTTCGGAGGCGGCCTAGTTTGTTTGTTTGTTTGTTTATTTGCCCAAAAAATATCATTAATATTACATGAATTAGATTACATTTAGTACTTCTTAATTACTCCTAACAAGCTACATGCTTTTATCTAGGATTTCTAAATTTATTTATTTTATATTTATAAACGCTTTAAACAAATAAGCCTTTATAAATTAACTTATTTCATATATAATTATATGATTAATATCTTATATTTCTTCAAAAAGGGCATGAAAAGAAGGATAATATGATGAATTAAAACAGTGTGAATGAGTACTTATATTTAATGACTAATTATTAACTAAGTAAAAATTGTTCTAAAAGAGTAGGCTTATTGTTAACAAATTTTATTTTGAAACGATATGTTGATCTACATTATAAACCAAATTATCACTTATATCATAAGAATTGTATTTTCTGTGATAAAATAACAGTTTTTTATCTTTGTACAACATATCATTATTGTTTAGGATATTTATATATATAGGTGACAAATATTTTGCAACAAGAGGATACTCAATATTGTCTTGTTTATTAATGTACGTTTTAATGCGTTCGTTCTCTAGTAGATTCAGTTTATTTAAGAACCGTAGTGCATTATCCATAAGATATTTGTCTATTCGAGTTATTTTACATTTTTTATATAGGATTTTGTTTGATGTTCTTTTTCTAAATAAATCGCCGTCATGATAAGGTTCACGGTTTACGCCAGTACAAATTCTTAGAATGTACCGTTCGAGAATTCGT